AGAGTCACTCTGAGTGGGAATTAACTTGATGGAAGTGGGTTGCATTTGAGTTTGGATATGTGGTCCGTGTGAGCTTCCAGGAGGTGGAGGTGGGCTCATGGGTGGTCCTTTACCCACCCAGGTCGGGCCAGTGGACAGAAGGACTCTTCCCGGACCCCTCTCAATGTGTGGCAGGGGCATAGGATGTGGGCGGAGTCCACATGGGGAAGCAGGAATTGTGTATAGTCCTCCGCTGAGTCTCCAGCCTGGCCCATCACTGATGGTCGTAGTTCCCCCTTGAACAAAGAGTGCACTGTCCACATCCATTCACTGAGAGGCGGAGGGCCCCCCCAAATGACTCTGGCCCCACTCCTGACTCTGCACCCTGGCCATCCTCCTATCTTTGAATCATTCCCATATCATCCTTCCTGCTCACTCCCTCCTGGGTGCCCCCAGCCTGGTCGGAATGCTCTGTGTGTTTGCTCGGTGGCCCTGTTAGGTTTCTGGTGTGGGAAGTACTCTGGTTCTTGGCTTCGCAGGATGAAAGAATTCACGCTGAAGCCTGTTTTGTAATCCAAGTGGGTTTTTATGGACAGGACAAGTTTCAGGTTCCACAGTCTCAAAGGGGTTCACAACTGGGTCCCAACAACCAGGTGGAAAAGAGCACCCACACGTGAGGATCTTGGGAGGGGGATCCTGGGAGGCCAGAAGACCAAGAACCCTAGAGGCTGAGAGCATGTGGCCAAGAGGCTGCGGCCCCGAGTAGGCCCCGAGTGGGTGCAAGACCATCCCAGAGTGTGCTCCCTGCCTTTATTCTAGCTCACCCCCTGGCTTGGGGAAGGCATGGTTGATTGTATTGGGTGATCCCTTTGGCTGAGTTAGGCCCACCTGGATGATGTCATGAGCCAGGGTCTAGTTTGGCCCTAGGTGTACCTCCCACCTGACTTGGGGTCTTAAGTACGAGCATGGTCAGTTTGGGGTCTTCATAGATGTCTAAGGGTTGCCTGATTTCTTTCCAACCTCCTCTGTGGGGGCCTTTGCAGGCATGGGAGGGACAACCTCCTGACCCTAAGCTAGCTGCCTAACAGCCCTCCCGGTCCTGCTCCAGGCAGCTGGCCCTGCAGGTATGTGGTGGTGACATAGTGGCCCTGCGCTGGGCGGTCAGGCTGGATTGGTGCCGAATTCCCTCCTCCCAATCCCCAGGCTGTGGCCAGAGGTGAGAGGTCAGGTCCTCCTGGCTGTAGGGCTGAAGGCCTCTCTCTCAGTCCCTGGAAGCCTCCCCTCATTGTGGCCCGAGGCTCCCTCAGGCCACGCACAAC